AATTTATCAATTTGGTTAAAATTTGTTGGGTATCCCCCATATTTTCGGTATATTGGCAGTTTGAGCACAGTTCGCTACTGAATTCGCTACAATTTGGTATTTTGGATTCCTATTTGGTAATAAATCTTCATACTTTATATTTACATTAAATTTCTAATGATATCATAGTTAGACATTCTGCATATTTCGTCGAATGACAGCGTCAAATTCTGCATTACCATGTTTAAGGTCTGGTGTCCAAATTGATTATGAAGACGGTGTGTTGGATATCTCCAACCAAGTTTGTGAATTATTTTTAAGTTCTTATTTTGTATGATCTGTAATTTTTTTAAATGACACTTGGCTGTCCTATGGAACCTTACTTGACAAGCGTATGTCTTTATTGGTCTAATGCAAATTTTATACAGCAATATTTTGTTGCTGGTATTGAGACTAGATCTTCTGTTTAGTAGAGGATACAGCGCTCTTCCACAATTTATAGCCTTTTCACTAATGCCTTTAACGTGTTCATGAAAAGATAGCTTAGAATCCAGAGTTACTCCTAAGTATTTGATAGACTTTTTTATCTCGATATTATTCCCCATAAATATTAGGGGAATACTCGGAATACGCTTCGGCGATTTGTTAAATGGGAAAATCACAGCTTGGGTTTTATCCTGGTTTATTTTAATTTTCCATCTATGGAAATATTTTTCGATGTGTTTTAACGACAAAGCTAGTTGTTTTAATATAGCGTTTGATACTTTTCCCTTTTCGCACATGATTGCGCTATCGTCTGCATAAAAAACTGCATCATGGTTTCCTTTGATTGTGATATCCGAAGTGTATATTGAATACAGAACCGGTGAGAGCACTGATCCTTGGGGAAGACCAGCAGGTATCGTTCGAGGTGTTGACAAACTGTTATCAATGCTGACCAGAAACGTTCTTTTGTTTAAAAAACTTTGTATAAGTTTTTGAATATATAATGGATATGAATGTTTATGCAGTTTGTATACAACGCCGTCGTGCCAAACTGTATCGAAGGTCTTTTCTATGTCCAACAATACAATTCCGGTACTTTGTCTAGAGGCTTTATTCTGCTCGATTGTCTTTATGACACGTTTAATTTGATGAACTGTTGAATGTTCTCTTCGGAATCCAAATTGTTTTTTATAAAATATGTCATTATCCTCTGTAAAAACGGGACTTTTTCAAATATTTTGCCTAAAGAGCTAAGCAAACTGATTGGCCTGTAACTAGTTGGTGACTTAGGATCTTTTCCTTTCTTGTGTATAGGTATTACTTTTGCCTGCTTGAATGTATCCGGAAAGACGCCAGCGCTCATGAAATTGTTTAGAATTTTTGCCAAAGTGTCAAAAAATAAAGGTGACAATTTTTTAAGTAGAATATTGTGAATATTATCTATTCCAGGGGTTTTTCTACTTTTTACTTGTTTCGTAATTGCAATCAGTTCAGATGCCCTAATTTCACTCTCAGAGTTTAAAGTTCCAATTTCAGTGTTTTCCACTATGCTTTTGACTTGATTGACCTTTCTGTCCATAGGTGATCGATTATTAATTGTTATGGAATGGGTTTTTTTCGAATTCGTTCGCAATCAAGTTAGCTTTGTTAGCTGGAGAGGATATTTCAGCTCCATCGAATTTTAGTGTTGGAATGGAATTGTTCTTTCCTCTTATTATTTTTGATATCTTCCAAAATTTTTGACTTCCCGTTGGTAATTTGGATATGAAATTGAACCACCTTTTATTTCGGTCTATGTCGATGTAAAAATCTATAAAACGCCTTTGCTGTTTCAAAATGTTTGCAAGGGTAGTTCTTTGGTTTGGATCAGAACATCGCTGAAGCATTCTTAACGTTGCTCTTTTTTGACGCATTAATTGAAGAGTGTCAGGGGATAACTGCCTGACCGAAGCTAATGACTTGCTGCGTGGAATCTTTTCTGTAGCACCCTTGATTATATCGATAAGTTTTTGTAGAGAATTGTCAATGTTTTCGTCCGATATGTTCAGTGAACCGATTTGATTGTCTACCCATCTCCTTATAGCAATCAAATCAGCTAGATGATACTGGAGAAAACTAGTTTCCGAACATTTAACAGAACCATGAATTTTGCACGTAATAGGAACATGATCAGAGACTAAAACATTTGGATGTGTTTCCAAATCGGATATAGATAGTGAAGAGTTTGAAATCAGTATGTCTACAGTAGATGGCGTAGTTTGTAAACTATTTTGACTGAATCGGACCCAACGATTTACTTAATCTTATACCTTCTCGCAAATTGTAAATTTTATATGAATCGAAATCTGAAGATGGGCTCTATTCTTCCACACTTTCTGATGGGGGGTCATTTTATAGGGTATCATAAGTTCGACACCGAATGGCTATACTCCTCTGTCATACTCATTCTTAATAAAATATCAAAAATATACAATATTCATGGAAAATACATACAAAGAACATTGTAGCTGCAGATCTCGCAATATGTATGTGCGTGTGTATACTACACTGAATCTTATGAAGCTTATAATAATCACAATTCAATCCACTTGAATAGAACATTGAAATAATTTGCAGTGTATCTGGTTTTATTGTCTTTTGATTTAGTTGCCAAGCATAGTTTCGAAGAACAATTGAAAGTCTCCCACTCGGTCTAATCTCTCAAACTCAGTAACAGTAGCCCCCATACATCGATGCTGATAAATGAAAGCAGCCACCACACACAAGCCTTTTGTTTATAGATTCTTGTGCCAAATATATGTATGAATTGTTGTTCTTGTTGTTGTGTTGCTGTTGTTGCAAAAAGCTAATTCATAATGGACTTCTCAATGCAATTGACAGCAAATAACTTCGTATGAGTGACTGAATGAATACAATTATCCATTATTCGTTATTTAATTACCATAGTAATCAAATCTAACTTAATTACCTTTCCAAGAACAAAAATCTCTTATGAACCGAATAAGGGGCAATATTCAAATCCATAAGATATGCGGGTATGTTGCTGTCGTACACCAACAACTCCACAAAGGGGCTTGTGCAAATTCTTTCGAATTGAAACTGTCTATTGTTATTTTAGGTGATTTGTTATTGGCTTCTGACAAGATGAGATGCGAAAAGATGATTCAAAGAAGATAGCATGCTAATAATTATTTTAAAAGTGTGAAGAGAGAGGAAACTAGTTTCGATTTCGAAGCGAACGTAATTTCAAGTTTTTCAAAACAAAAAGTGTTCAAGGGGGTTTAGGAAATTTATATAGAATATGTGCAGATTTTAAGCCTGACGAGACTGGCGGAATTTGCTATTAAGCCTCCTTAGAGACTGAGTGGATTTTTCAATAGAACATTTGAAGCCTTCCAAGAGGCTTGGGAATTTTCTTTTGGATATTGGAGCATCTCTAAGAGGCTAGGGAAATTTTTCTATAGACACTTTTTGTAGAATCTTCCGTTAAAACACTGAGGCGAATTTCAACTGAAAATTTAGAACATTTTGAGGACCCTAAAAAATTTCAATCCTCCCAAAAGACTTGGAAATTTTCTACAGCAAATTTCTATAGTAAATGTTGAAGCCTCCACAGAGGCTTGAGAATTTTCTATAGAAAATCTTAAGCCTCCCTAGAGGCTTGGGAATTTTCTATAGAAAATCTTAAGCCTCCACAGAGGCTTGACAATTTCCTATAGAAAATCTTAAGCCTCCACTGAGGCTTGACAATTTTCAATAGAAAATCTTTAGCCTCCCTAGAGGCTTGGTGAAGCCTCCCAAAAGGCTTGAGAATTTTCTATAGAAAATTTGGTGAAGCCTCCCAAGAGGCTTGAGAATTTTCTATACAAAAATTTGGTGAAGCCTATCAAGAGGCTGGAGAATTTTCTATAGAAAATTTGGTGAAGCCTCCCAAGAGGCTTGAGAATTTTCTATAGAAAATTTGGTGAAGCCTCCCAAGAGGCTTGAGAATTTTCTATAGAAAATTTGGTGAAGCCTCCCAAGAGGCTTGAGAATTTTCTATAGAAAATTTGGTGAAGCCTCCCAAGAGGCTTGAGAATTTTCTATAGAAAATTTGGTGAAGCCTCCCAAGAGGCTTGAGAATTTTCTATAGAAAATTTGGTGAAGCCTCCCAAGAGGCTTGAGAATTTTCTATAGAAAATTTGGTGAAGCCTCCCAAGAGGCTTGAGAATTTTCTATAGAAAATTTGGTGAAGCCTCCCAAGAGGCTTGAGAATTTTCTATAGAAAATTTGGTGAAGCCTCCCAAGAGGCTTGAGAATTTTCTATAGAAAATTTGGTGAAGCCTCCCAAGAGGCTTGAGAATTTTCTATAGAAAATTTGGTGAAACCTCTCAAGATGCTTGGCAAAGGCTTGGGGATTTTCTATAGACATTTTTAAGCCTTCTATAGAAAATTTTAAGCCTCCCCTGAGGCTTGGGGGTTTTCTATAGGAAATTTTAAGCCTTCTATAGAAAATTTTAAGCCTCCCCAGAGGCTTGGGAATTTTCTATAGAAAATTTTGAATAGAAAATTTGAAAATTTTCCATAGAAAATTTTGTAGCCTCCCTAGAAGCTTGGGAATTTTCTATAGCAAATTTTGAACCTCCCCAGAGGCTGGGGGATTTTCTATAGAAAATTTGAAGCTTCCTCTGAGACTTGTTAATTTTTTATAGAAAATTTGAAGCCTCCCAAAAGGCTTGTAATTTTTTGTAGAGCATTTGAAGCCTCCGCCGAGGCTTGGGAATTTTCTATAGAAAATTTTGAAGCCTACCTACAGGCTTGTGAATTTTCTATAGACAATTTTAAGCCTCCCCAGAGCCTTGGGAATTCTCTACAGAAAATGTAAAGCCTCCCCTGAAGCTTGGGAATTTGCGAAGCGTCCCTTATAAGCTGGGGAATTTAAGTCCTGAAATAAAAATCCATCGATTCTGAGAACAATTTAAGTAAACGAAGTCTTTATTTTTGACAATTTTTTCTCTATCGCATATCACATCTTTGTTCTAAATTTGCCAGTCTTTCTTCACTTAATGACTGTGAATGCTGTCCTGCACCAATTTCAAATGATTCTGCAAGAAGCACATACCGCCACGATAGGCCCAAGTACAAGCATCCGATTTTTCGGTATTATGATCGGCACACATGTCAATCTTCTGATGAATTTCATCGCTATGATCGATAGGTTCATGACCACCGGCCAATTGATGATGGACAAGATAGGGATTGAAGCCATGCGTCTCATCGAAAAAGCCAAATTTCTCGAAAACGCATTTCATATAGCAACGGGTCACCTCATCGTTGGGATATTCCCAGGACTTGTATTTTTCCAATTTATCGGCTGGGACATTCAACTGTTTGCCGCATTCTTCACGGAATCTGGCCAAATCTTCTTTGGTCTTGACGGTGTAGTCATGGCCATCATGATTTATGTGATGGTTGTGGTTATGACCCTCGTGTCCCTCATGACCCTCTTCGTGATGGGCCAAGACCTGTGTGGGGGCAGAAATCGAGAATAAAAATTATTTTTCTAGAATTTCGTAGTCATTTTATGGGGAAGTTACTTACCGAAGCTGATGCTAAGCATAAAATCACAACGAACACCTTCATTATACTGTTTGTATGGATTCTGAGTTCTCAGGGTTTTTATACTTTCACTTCGCGTCTTTGTGTACTTGCCGAATGGAATCGTGTGTGAGTCTGACTTGAGCTTGTGTTCTTTTGTTGTTTGTTGTAGAGAGTAGGAGGTTATCTTCCAGCAAAATGCATCTGCTTGGTTTTATTAACCTCTTGAGGGGTGGTGCCATAATCAATTGGTCACCTTGGGAACTTATCTTTTAATAAACAAGGGGGGTCAATAACACAATGAAGGCTAAATGGGAGGTGTAGGAGATACAATGGAATTGGTGATTCACCATCAAAGACAGAAATTCAAAGATTGAAAAATATCGAGCCTTTAAAAGAGAGAAAATCGCCAAGCCTCTCGGGAGGTCACAAATTTTTTAGGGAGGTTTCAAAGCTTCTATAGAAAATCCCCAACCCTATGGATAGGATTCGCAAATCCCCAAGACTCTGGGAAGGCTTCAAAAACCCCCAAGCCACTGGGGTGACTTCACATTTTCTATTGAAAATCCCCAAGCCACTGGGGTGACTTCACATTTTCTATTGAAAATCCCCAAGTTACTGGGGTGGCTTTAAATTTTCTATAGAAAATCCCCAAGTTACTGGGGTGGCTTTAAATTTTCTATAGAAAATCCCCAAGCCACTGGGGTGGCTTTAAATTTTCTATAGAAAATCCCCAAGCCACTGGGGTGGCTTTAAATTTTCTATAGAAAATCCCCAAGCCACTGGGGTGGCTTTAAATTTTCTATAAAAAATCCCCAAGCCACTGGGGTGGCTTTAAAGTTTTCTATAGAAAATCTTCAAGCCTCTGGGCAAGCTTCAAATTTTCTATAGAAAATCCCCAAGCCACTGGGGTGGCTTCAAATTTACTATAGATTCCCAAGAAACTCCTCCATAATGAAAAGTTTTCTAGAATTCTATAAATAAATAACGGTGCTTATCGAATTAATTTAATGCGACCGATGGCTATGTGAGATTGTGATTGCATGGAAATTATTTTTGCTATTGTTAATGTTGTTGTTGCTTTTGTTGTACACATTTGAATGTAATTTGCACCAAACGAACAAAAAAGTCTTATTAAATTGATAATACTCACCGAAGAAGCTCTCAAGTATCAACAAAAAATCAACAGACACACAAAGCCGGGAGATAAAGCGAGGCGAACTATTAAATCTTGATTATGACCTAAAAGACCACAAACAGACAACAGTTGTTCGACGACGATGATACGCTCGCCCTTAGAGATCAGTAATAAAAATTTGTATTAAATGTATAATTAAAAAACGACAACAAAAAATGTATTATTAGAGGGGGTCGACAATTAAACAATTAATGAGGAAAGTTGCGAAAAAATAATAGAATGCATAAATAGTTAATTAAGAAATTAAACATCGAATGAAACATTTTAGAAACTTTAAATTTTCCAAATTTAATACCCACGTATTTATACCTAGCTAGAGGTAAAATACGTATTAATGTCGGCCAACAAAATATATATATATAGGTATATCGAATTTTTAACCGATTTAAACAGATCTCAATAGATACAGATCTCAAGAGATAAACAGATATCAATAGATACATTCTCAATTTGGTACATTCTTCAAAATTTCGTAGCAATCGGAGATATATGAGGTATTCTGTATACAATTTAGGTCTATTCAGCCAACGAACTTGGTATTTTCACCACTTATATATAAAATAGGACGAAAATATATATGGGAGCTATGCCTAAAATTGAATCGATGTTCTTAATCTTTATAGGGTAAAACACTCTGCCCTAATATGCACATATCCATATTACCCTATATCACAGTCATAAACACTAAAAAGTTAATGAGAAACAATCCAGCCGAATATTGTACAAATGAATTACGTTGCCATTTCTAAGTGGATAGAATTAATATAACCGAATATATGATGTATCACATAGGGGTTAAGTCGGTATTCCAATAGCGTGGACATAAACCATTATCGACCATGTGTGAACACTTTATTATCGACATTGACATGCACATACACGCCCTAAAGTATGCTTGAAATATTGAAATATCCAACTAGAAAAACAAAATGTGTAATCCAATTGAATATTTTAAGGACTGAAAAATCCGATTGACAACAAATAAAAAAACTCCCAACGAGTGTGTTGTGCAGAACTAAGATGAGAGTGGGTGTGTGATAGGGTTACGGGTACAACTATCGACGCTATCGTCCTGGTTTGTGCATAAGTGCTCCGAACCCAAACCACACTCAAACACATTTTATGCATCTTTTGTTTATTCTTCGGATTTATTTGGGAAGTGTACAGCTTTGTAGATACAGTATTTTTCGGTTAATTGCACATCAAAATTTGCACAAATTTTCGTTCAATTAACCGAGGAATCAATTATCCGAACCCGCCTAATTGAATAGTGTGTTCAATTACAGTAATCACGTATAATTGGAACTACTAATGATTAAAAAAAATCCAATGTCAAATACAAATTACGCTTTCTCGAAGTTTTTCCTTAGCAATAAACATATGTTTTGAATTAGTATAGATGCCACCTAGTCTTTTCCACAAATTATGTCAAATATGTATGTAAAAAAATGGCAGATTTTTTTCAATTATTATTATGCAATTAACCGGTGAAAAGTAAAAGGAAATTTATTTTTGATGACATGAATTTTGAACCAATTAAGCGGGAAAATCAATTAAGAGAGTTTAATTATCGGAGAAAATTTACATGTATTTTCCTATGAAATATTTTTTGTCCCATCATGTGGTTCAATTAAGCGTGGAAACCAATTAACAGTAGGGTCAATTAACCGAAAAATACTGTATTTGTATATATAATTGCTTCCTCAAGGACCGACTCCAAAAACTCATTTTTTGGAATAACATAAAATATAGGAGCATCTTCATATGCAGTAGCCTTACAATCTAACTAGAGCCGTTGTTATTCCTGAATAAACTTCGTTATTTGAGTTCGTATCGCTATAGAGATTTCTTGGAAATATGGATTACTTGCAGAAATAATCAAATTAATCCGCAGTAACTTTTCAGAATATACAGTTAAAATCGCCCAAAAGAAAATTCTGCTAAGCCTCGTATCTAGTGAAGATATGTACACTTTGCGTAGCAGTATATTCCGACGGATCAGACCATATGATACCCTATACAACTACCACTGAAATCTAACTTTCTGCGGATCTATATTCCGAGCGTAGGAAATATTTCGCGATATTTGCACCCTGATATCTTTTCAGAATCATGATTTCCCGAATTAATTGATTTTTTTATTATATCTCATAAAAGTCTTGGTTCATTTGATCCGCTAAATATTTGCCGATCATTATCGAAACAGTTTCGGCCTATTTCATACGCGTAGTATCATTTAGCATCACCAAAAATTAAGTCGTAGTCATTGACCATAACAGGAAATGCATGTAAAATTTCATAGCGGTCAGCGCAATCATTCCGTCCTCTGGTATAGCAATGTCGGACTAAACAAGTAAAAGTATCAGTCAGTGTTGCCGACATATGTATACCCTCAGCCTATGGTGTGGGGAGGTCTTCGGAGTTACACATAGGTTTTATTATTCGATTTATATATGGTACATGTTTTTATCAAAGAGGTTTCGGATTTAATGTTGCTTAAATCGGACAGTCAATTCATCTACTATTGGAAGAAGAATACCTGCAGCGCTTCCACAGGAAGACGAATTCCTAGAGTTCTCCTCTAGGAGGAAGAAGACATCCAGCTCTCCTATAGGAAGAAAAATACATGTAGCTCTCCTATAGGAAGAAGAATATCTCCAGCTCTTCCATAGGAAGAACAATAGCTGCAGCTCTTCCATAGGAAGAAGAATACCTACAGATCTTCCACAGGAAGAAGACTCCTGCAGTTCTTCCACAGGCAGAAAAATATCTGCAGCTCCTCCACAGGAAGAAGAATGCCTGCAGCTCTCCCATAGGAGGAAGAATACCTCCAGCTCTCCTATAGGAGGAAGAATACCTCCAGCTCTTCTATAGGAAGAAGAATACCTCCAGATCTTTCAAAGGAAGCAAAATATCTGCAGCTCTTTTAAATGAAGAAGATTGCCTGCCGCTCTTCCACAGGAAGAAAAATACCTGCAGCTCTTCCACAGGAAGAAGAAGACGACCAGCTCTCCTATAGGAAGAAAATTGCATGCAGCTCCCCTATAGGAAGAAGAATACCTGCAGCTCTTCCACAGGATGAAGACCCCTGCAGCTCTTCCATTTGGGGGAGGTTCCAGAAGAAGTGGACCGATATTTTCCATCTTCGAACTTTTTAATCTTGTTTGGAAGAAATATTACGATGCACACAGTTTGGGCGAGAGAGAGGCCAGACAGACGAACATTTGTAAATCGACTACAAATTGTCTGAAACGGATGATGTACATTTTCACTGTATCAAATTGTATATACCCTCATTAGCCATAATGCTGAGGGTATAAAAACGTTTTCTATGAATTTTCTTATAATGAACTTTTTATTTAAATTGCATTCAAACAGCTTTCTTCACAAAAAACTTAAATTTTCTGGTATGAGTTAAGTTGGTTCACTTTCGTAAAATTAGGTATATACTCCACATCCGTAAATCTAGTGTTAGAAGAAATCTGCGAATCAAGGATGTCAATCTGTTGGCAAAAGCGTCTAAGACCATGAAAAGTGGGGATGGACCCCTAAGCTGGGACTATGATAAAACATGAACCTATTCTGAAATTTTTTTGAAAACACTTTCTGAAATCTTGGAAAAATTGCAAGTAAATCGGGCAGACTTGGTTTCTTTGGCATACCATTTGTATGAAATCAAGCAAAATTATCTATGGAAGCCATTAAGTATGTTGCAGCCAGTGCGTCCTTGATCAGTGTACGCAATTCAATACGCTGTGCAAATTTCTTGTATATGTGAGAAAAAAGTCTTTTGTCCACCATTTACATAAAATCGAACGAGCGTTATATCTAAATTTCAACCGATTTT